GAATATATTAGTAGGGCCAATATGCCATATAAAAGTCGTTGAAATTACTTGGCTCCTTCTGGTACCTGCCATACAACTTCAAAAGTTATTTGACTTTATTTCAGAAACTATTAAAGCTATGGTATTGAAATTTCACACAAACGAATATATTAGTAGGGCCAATGTGTCTCATAAAAGTCTTTGAAATTACTTGGCTCCTTCTGGTACCTGCCATACAACTTCAAAAGTTATTTGACTATATCTCAAAAACTATAAAAGCTGTGATATTGAGATTTCACACAAGTGAATATATTAGTAGGGCCGATGTGCTTGATAAAATTCGCTAAAATTTCTTGGCTCTTTCTGGTAGCTGCCATACAACTTCAATAGTAGTTTGGCACACACAGTATTTTGAAAAACACATAGTACTGAAATTTTGCATAAATTAATATGGTAATACGGCAACTTAAAGTCATAGTCTGCCCCATAGTTAGTTATGGCACATTAGTTATTCGCACATAGGATAACAAATTCGTACGGGTATTACAGAGTTGACAAGGTCAACTCTATTTTTTTTCTCGTTTTTAAATTAAAAATATTAACACAAAAGGCAAAAAGTAAAAATATTTTTATTTAAAAAATATGCACAAATGTATGTATGTTTTCTCACACTAATTCATCTGTGTCGTGCTCTAACCTCCTTGTTCTAAGAAATTATAAACGAAAATATTAAAATGAAAATGCAAAACACACAAAATGAAAATTGTTACAATTTTCAAAATTTTGATAAGTTAATTTTCTTAAAAATATTTCCCTTAAAAAATAAAAATATTAAAAAATTACTTTTTAACAAAAATAAAAAAAAGCAAAATTATGTATTAAAAAAAAATATTTTTCTTTTTTTCTATGGGTATATTATGTAAGTATGGAAATTAAGCAAACTGCAGCGTCCTACACCTTGTTATAAAATTTAAGAACTTTCTTAATGCTCTTCTTATCTTTTAAACTGAAAGAAACAATAACAAAGAAAACAACAAGAAAAAAAGCTAAATTTTTTTTTTTCGAAAAATTTTTATTTTAATTTTCCCTAAATGTTTTTCACAGAAATATTTTATTTTCATTTATTTTTCGTTTTCAGTTTTTCTCAAACCAAAATTTCTCATATTATCATTTAAGTGTGCTCGTTTTTTGTTTTTTAATAATAATTTTTCCTTATTTATTTTTCTCTATGTACATACATACATATTTTTATTTTATTTTCATTCTTCCATTCAAATATATCTCATAAAAATTTATTTTCTGAAAATGGCCTAAAAGTTACATAAAACAAAAAATTGCCGAACATTAAGAAAATACGAAAAGAGAAAGTAATAATGAGTCCTACACTAAAAATAAATAAAAAAGAAAAATATTAAAATACAAACAAATAAAGCGAAAAAAAGAAAATAATTTCAAGAGAAAAAAAGTTTTCATACAGAAGCTATGTAACATACATATAGACAATATTGTTTATAAGTAAAAATCTTATATAAAATAGATTGTTTTTCATTTTTTTTGTTTTTGGAAAAAATAAGAGGAAAAAAAGGTCAGCAATCTTTAAGAAGAAGATTTCTGAGGCGTCATCTTTGATTTACGCTAAAAAATTCTTTTCATGTCAATATTACAATACTTAGAATATACTGGCGCATGATGAAAAGACAAAAAAAAAATCTAAAAAGAAAAAGTTTTAAGGCATCTCATTTTTTTGCAAGAATTCAATTGACATCTTGTGGCACTTAATATTTTTTCTCAATTTTTTTACCGACTGCATTGTATACAATATGGAAGGTGATGTGATAGTACCAAATTTTACATGTCGAATTTTACACAGAAATACTTTTCTTCTTCGTGACAGAGAAATTAAGATAAAATTTTTATCTGTCTGTGTGCTGGCTCATTTCAGCTCACTGAATCCAATTTTTATTAATTAAAATTTATATATTCGAGTTTACTGTAGAAATTACTTGGATTGATTAGCTTAAAAACAAGCCTTTGAATAAGGGCCCAAATTTACACTTTTGATTATTTTTCAAAAAAAATGTATATTTGAGGTTGTTATGAAATTACGTTAATTAACAGTGTAATTTTTCGAGGAAATCGGATATAAGCGACTGATATTTTACTATGCACAAAATTTACAGAAAACTAATCAACTAATTTGCTTGAAATTTAATATATGAATTCTGGTAACTTGAACAATGAACTACTAAATTTTATGGGAATTTCAGGACTGTTATGTAGTGACCACATCAGATTCTTTTTGATTTTAAATTGTTCAGATATACATAAATTTTACATTCCTTTTGTCGAATATATAAGATACTCGTATGTACAATATCTTTTTTCAAAAAAATAAACATTCAATACAATACAGTATTATTTGTTTCCTCTCAGTCGTGTTATAATATTTCCTTATACATACAATATGTACGTTGCGTATACAAATAAATATAGCGCTTCAAAAGTGCTTATAAATTATATTTAAAATATTTTATAAAATCAAACCCAATCGAATGTTGAATATAAGTATTAATGTAGATATATTTAGTAATTATATGCATTTGATTGAGAAAGTATACTAAAATTTCTAAGGCATTGAATTTAAATTTAATAGTTATTTAAAATTAAATTTTAATTTTAATGTTTACGCTCAATTCAAAATTTCAGCTGTTAACATTAATAAAAGTTTAAGAAAAATGAAATAAAAATTACAATAATCGTAATTATAGTGAAACTTTCATAACACGAAATTGTTATGAATCTTAGGAAAACATACTCCAAACTAAAAACTGCAATATATACGAACCAACTAAAAATTCAACTAATTCTTTTTAACTGGGCTTCCTTCCACCCCCTTTCAAGTTATTGCCTTAATCGAAATTTATAAAATTTGAATTTGCCGCACTTTATTTGTATTAAAAGTAGTATTTTCCTTTGTTGACGGGAATAGTGCTACTTTACATTGATTTGGCAACTTTATTATTTCACTCTTTTTGTAATTTTGTAGTTTTTTTAACTTATTTTATTTTTAAATCAAATGTGTGAATAATTTTTTATTACAAGTTAAAAGAAAGGAGAAAACAAAATAAGAATTTGGATAATTTTTTTTAGTCAATTTTCCACTTTTTATGCTATATTTACTCTGTCTTAAGGAAATGGATTAATTTTGGTCTATAATTCACATGTGTCACAAACTCATAAAAATATCTTAAATAACCAAACATCAAAAGAAAAATTTATTTAGAACATTTATAACAAAGAAAAACAAAACAACAAAAAAAAAATTCAATGAAAAGAAAATCAAATTGGGAGTAGGGTGGGTGCTCTCTATGATTCAAGTTATTATTATTGTATATGGATTCGATATCTTATGCGGGTACAACTTTATACTTACAAACATATTATAATAATGTAATGATTATGGACTATACAAAATTTTATAAAATAAAGAAGAAATGAAATAAAACAAAAAGGGCTAATCATAATTCAAGGAAAAAATTTTGTTTTTTGGCTAAAAAAAAACAAAAGTACCAGAAAAGTTTTCGTTTTCTGGTTAATTTTTGTTTATTTTTTATTCTGTTGTTTATTTTTAGTTAACGATTATTGTACCAACATACTTTCATGATGACATACATATTTATACAGCTATATGTATATTATATTTACGTACAAAATATGCTCATATATGTAGGAATGTGTAAATTTTCAGTGAAGGAAACTTTGATTGCAAAGAACTTTGTTAGGGGTGTAGGAAACTTTGCTACAACTTTGTAACAAACATTCTAGAAAAATATATATAATTCTGTGATGGTAGAATGGATGTATGTAAATATGTGTAGTAATATTGTACATTATATTGAATGGATGTATGATTTATTTTGTGTCCATGTATATGCGTTCTATATCAAAAAAGATGAATGGTATATGAATACAAATACTTTTGATAATACTACTTGTAAGTTTTTTAGAAATTCTCGATTAAAGATTCATGCTCTTACTCGCAGTGAGAAAACTTTCAGATCAAAATCGTTATTTTTTAGAAAATATTTCATGTAAAAGAACTATGTAACTAATAAGCATTTTCAAAATTTTCGTAAGAGCAAAATTATTATAATTTATCAAAACTGAAATTTCATATACATAATATTATATAAGTACAATTGGAAAAATATATTCATAAATACATATGTGCATTAGCGTAATGTCATTATTCAGTATGGTTCACTTAAATCGTAAATTTATAATACTCGTAATAATAGTGATAATAAAATACTGTTTTGCATAAAAAAGACGAATATTTTAGCACTAGCACTAATTTACAAAGTTAATTCGGAAAATTCGACAACTTTCTTATGGCGTGATGAATTTTCCAGGCGCATTATAATGATTAACACTTCATTAAGCTCTACTTAAGCAAAGAAACTCTCTATATTTTTTTTTGGTTTTTTAAATAATTTAAAATATTGTATACATATCGTAAGCATATTTACATCTCCTTATCTTCACAGGAATGTTGTTTTTCTCAATATTTACATTTGAAACAATATTTTGCCCATTTTATGTTAGGTTCACTAATTTTATGTTAGGTTCAAAACAAAATGTAAATTCTTGAAAAAAGGAATTTTAAGTAGGTATTTTGCAAGATTTTAAATGTAAATAAATTTTACTTGTAAATAATAATATTTTCGTTAGAAAGAAAAATTTTGTAAAAGTTAATATATTTAAGGATTCTTTTAAACTTTTTATTGGTGCTGAGACACGTTCAGAAAATTCTTTATTTTGCGTTACAAAAATATTATAATTGCTATTTGCATTGATCAATTTTTGAGTTTACCAACGTACCATTTTATTTTTTCATAATTACTGACACATACATACTTTTGAAATTAAAATTTTTGATATTAACATTTGAGCATAACACAATTGAACATAAATTTTTAATTTCATTATTATTCGAATATCAAATTATTTGATATATTCAGATAATAATGAAATTAAATACACTTGCAGATTCTATGGTGAAGATGCAGAGACTTAAGTGCACCTTATGGAAGAGGGTAAGAGAAGTGATAATCTAGTGGGCTTAACTTTTGCGGCGGCGGAATTGCATAAAGAGTGAACTCTTTCAATAGTTTGTAGATGAGTATAGCTTTAAGGTGTTATTGAATTAACATGACTTGAATTTTCTTAAAACAGGTAGAATGTAAGCTTCTTTTTTTTCTTCCACATAGATTATCTATTATATACATAATTATATATGTATGCATAATGATTGTTATTGGGGATTAAAATTAAATATTTTACATTCTATTCATCTTGTTAAAAATATTATAATTATATATAACTAGTAAAAAATCCCCGAGTTTGAAATATGAAGAATAGAAAACCCTAATTATATTATTAAGACTATTAGAAAATATATAACAATGCATATACACATATATAATATAATATATATATAACATTTCATTATATACAAGAGTTAATGAGGATCTCCTTTATTCTCTGCTAAAAAAAAAGCAGAAAACAATCATTCATATTATAATATTTTCTTCAAAATTAATCCACCCATATCCCTTAACATAAAATATCAAAAACAAAAAATTAAATAATTATGTCTATTCCTTCAATACACCCATTGAATCTTTATGTACGCCAACCATAATACAATATACAAGTATATAATATAATCCGCATGTTTTCAAACTATTAATATAATAAATTTATTTTTGGACACATTCTTATATATTAATACATTAATTTACATCTCATTCTTAATTATCATAATTTTCATATATGTATGTACATATGTATATATTATGTATATAGGCATTCAAACTTATTTTCAATGAGTTCTTATTTTATAAAAAGAAAAAAAATGTCTTTATGAAATTGGTCACAGCATATTAAGTATAACAAGCATATGGTGTATACTATGAAAAACTATAACCCAAAACCAAAAAACTAAAACAAAAGAAAAGTTTTTTTTTTTTGGAAAATGAAATGTTATACATCTATACACATCTATACATATGTGAATGTATAAAGTATTTTACGAAACAAAAGAGTCCCTTTACCCCAATTTAATATTAAAGATATTGTGTCGGGACCTTGTAATAAGTTTAATCAAAAAATTTTTCATATATTGTATAGGTATACATACTTATATTTTATATTTATTTATATGTATATTTTATATAGTATATAATTAGTTAAATATTATTATACACATGTATTGTAGCATCCTAAGAAGTATATGAGTACTATATCGTAATATATTGTCTAAAAATACGGTACAGTACTTAAGTATGTAATAAACAAAAATTTAATATTCTTATACTGTTCTTATATATTTAGATGAACATAACATTTTCTTATTGTTTTTTTGTTATTTCGTTCCAAAGACTTATTATATGTGAGTTGTCTTCTACAATAAAAATAATTTTTTTCCTTATTTCCTACATTCATGTACATATTATACAAAATATAATAAATTTTGTATTCATTCATAAAATATGTCTAACATGAGGTACAAAAATATTAAATAATATATTTTATGTTCATATGTCTAATATGTATATATACGAGTATAATTATATATACATAAATAGTTGATATAATTCTACATAATACTTAATAATCCTTTCATATTTACATGTGTCGAACAATTTGAAAAAAGCATACTATTGTAATAAAGAAAAAAAATAAAATAAAAATAAAATAAAAAAAATCTTTTGTTGTGTACCGATAAGAATCTGTTGTTTTTTTTTCATATAAAAACATCCTGCCTGACCCCATCGAATACCCTTTTTTTGTATTTATTATGATAATTTTCTATGAATCCATATCTGAAGTAATGACATACAGGCATCCATACAATATATACACACACATTTAAGGTTACACATAAATTTTACAAAACAATATTTTGTTGTCAAAAATATCAAAAAGTCAAGAGACTGATTTAGAATATTATGCATAGAACACAAAAACAAAAAAAGGAAAAGGGATCTAGATTAATTTTTTTGCCGCCCTATACCCTATAGATCTCTTCTCGTCCAATATCAAATAACTATCAACATACATAATCGACATACACACGTAATATCTAAAATTTTAGCTATATAGGGGAACATTTTTGTACATATAAGGTAATTTTTTTTTATAATTATTTCTAATAAAATATTGTTGATATTTTTGTTTTATATTTTCATGGTTATTTATGGTATTTGTAAATTTTAATTATGTATCGTTATTACAAGAAACTAATTTAATTTATTAACGAAGTAAAAGAACAACAAAAAAAGAACAAACAAGAATAATAGAAGATCATAAAATTTAAATAAGTTTTATGTTTATTGATGAACTGTTAATAAATTCATTTGTAGTCAAGCGACACAGGAAATATACAAACAATTTATATACATATGAGATGTATACATACAATATTATCGTCTATAATTATTTTGCTCCTGTAGTGAACTCCTAAATTCAATAAAACACTTGATGTTTATATTAGGTGGTTTTAAATTGTGTATATGATGTAATACAATTATTACAACATGCAAAACAAAAAAATAGAAAATTAGAAAAAGAATAAAATTTGGGGGAGCCTCGAAAAATTTCTAATGTTACAATAATTATAAATAATTCTAATTCAAATTGAATTAGGGTGATTATTTCTTTATGAGTATACTTAAAAATTATATTAAAAAATAAACAAAATTAGAAATGAATATTGAATACCAAATATTTTTTTGATTACATATAATTCTCACTTATTTGGAAGATATTTTCAACAATGCACGTCTCTACTATAATAATTGTACTTGTATTCTGTAAACATTTTTTTTTAGCATAAGCATTTTGATTGTGTATAATTGAACTTGCACTATATATAATGGAGAGTAATTTTAATAATATATAAACAATAGTATGGAGTTTTAGCTATATAATGTAAGTGGTGAAAATAGCCCTATTATGGACAAAATTATGTTTAATAATATAAAAATTAAATATTTAGAATTAGATATAAAAAATTTATTAATCTCAAAATTTATAGTTAGCAGCATGCATTATACAGCTCTGTAATAAAATTTTTCTAAATTAGACATATATATATACATACATATATGATTTTTTCTTAAATTTTATTTACAAATTAACAAACAAAATAAATAAACAATAGTGATGTTATTACACATTATCAAAGATAATGCGATAGATAAAACTAACTCACACTCTATTGATATTGTTCATATGATAAAATACCTAGGTATAGTGCACAACTCTGCACCTTATGGTTATGTGAGGATAATTCTATGTAAATTTAATTCCATTTTACCTATGCATATAATACGTCATAGATTTTGAAATTTTACGGAAATAAGGTTTTAATAAACACGAATTTTAAAATTTTACGAGATTAAAGTCCATAATGTAATTTTCGAAACAGTTATATGTGACTAAGTATGGCAAGCGTGCTTTAATTTTTTAATTTGAAGTTAACAAATAAAATTTTAAAAATATACTAAAGAAATAACTATAGACGTTCTGAATGCTTATTAATCACATCAAAATTTTCAATAAATTCTATATTAAATACAACTGGGGCATCCCAGATATAGCTACGTGCACATGAAGGCCAATATTTTTAAAACGGCTTTTATGTGTAGAACACGTGCTAGAATTCCAATTTACATCGAGAATTTATAGTGAAATTGTAATATGTTTTTTGTTATATGCCATATTTTTTCAAATGTGTGAAGTACATTTTTTGAGATCGTAAATTTTAGTTATTTATAGCTGTTAAATCGAAGTACATACAATTCAACTTATTAGTAATTTTAAAGAAACTAATTTTTATATTTGCATCAAACTGATTTATGTGCTTATTCCTTGCGTCTTTCATTATCAGAGCATTTTCAATTAAACCAATAAATCTTGTAATACTGCTGTTTATCTTTTAAATTTCCTGAATAACTAACTAGCAAGTTTGTTTGATACAAATGAACATATTAAGTACTAAATAACGAAATTAATGTTACCTTTTACTTACATTTTACAAAAATTCAGAAAATATTGCAAATTTTTGTAATGCAGTATTATTTTTGAATACACACTTTTTATTCATTTTTCTTCTATTTATAATTAAAATTTCATTTGAATTTATATTGGTTTTAGTATTCATTCAATGAGATGTCTATGAATAAGATTGTAGGTGGTATTTTACAGCAATTTCAAATTGTTTACTTTAAATTGATTATGCATTAATATACATCTATACGATTCCTGTATAATATTATTTACTCAGAATGCAAAAAAATTATAATATATTGAGTGCAAGAATATTGATTTTTAAAGTTTTTGCTTTTCCAATAGGAAATTATAGTATTAATAGTGTTTATCTACGAATAGTGGCCGGAAATAAAAATTTTACGAAAATAAACAAAATTAATTTTAACTAAATACAAAGTGAATGCAATTGAAATTTATGTACTCGGATTGTTTAAATTAAGAGATATTGATAGAGAATATATCTGTAGGTAAAATATAATTAAAGATCTTGAATTTTGTTTAGAAAGTGTTGTAAATATAAAAATTTTTTTTTGTAGTTTTGTGCGAGATTTTTTATTGTGTATTATATTGTATCATTGTTTTATTATAAGGAACGATAATATTTAGATAATATAGGAAGTTCTGTCAAAGACAAACGGATGATTTTTAATTGGGAAGTTGTAAAGGGAATTTAATAACCAAATATAATACACAATAATTTAAATAATTTAATATTGTTAATAAAACCGTGTTTTATAAATCACGCTCTTATAACACTCTTTAAACTCTCTAACTAAGGTTATTAACTAAAACTTTAGAAATAAACACTTATCTTGGCATATAACATGTGTTATTAACCACATAAACATAACATTAATGTAACCACATTATATTTCAATATAAAATTTAGTGTCATAGGCACTTTAAAATTCTATTTTAATGACTTCTAGTAATAAAAGAATAAATTTTAACTTCTTTTTTCAAATCTTAACACTTGGACAACACATTAAATATTTTATTTGACACACAAAGCTCTCT